TAGGTGCAGAGCCTGTTGAAAATTTTTGATTGCAGATTGGCAACAAATTGTAGACATGTATTATCAGATATTGTTAGCAAACTGCTGCTAAACTGCTAACAACGTCTGCTGACATTTTGCGCAACTTGTAACTATTAAAGTTTGCATAAACAAAACAATAAAATTCGAACTTCTAACTCAATTTGTTTGAATAGATCACAAAACTAATTGACCACCATTAAACGTTAATTAAAACGTATTTGCATAATAAATAATTGTAAGCTGTTTGTCTCTTAAGTTTGTTCTGATTTATTGTTGTTCCTTATTTCAGAGGCTACAAAATATTAATTACGATGAAATGTTTTTTATTATCATTTAGTTAAAGAATGATATTTAATGTTATTTCAAGAGAAAATGACGATTTCTTATCATTCAACTATGCTCCAGTGACGATGTAAAGTTCAAATGCGGTATTTGTACGTTTGAATCTCAACACCGCCGCGGGTTGACTCTGATTGGTTGTTTGCCAGATTTTACCAAGTTTTCTCAAAATGGCGGTCACCCAACCGTCACACAATTTTATACAGGGAATGGTATCCTATATCCTATCCAGTGTATAATAGAGATCAGTGTTTTGCTGCATATTTTACAGGTTTTCGAATTACGAAATTGTGTTAAAAAAAAAAACTAAAGAATAAAACTATACATAGTGTTTCAGTATATATATATATATATATACAGGGTGTTTTCAAAATACCGCCCAGTATTTATATAGCGTTATGCCTGATAAAAAATTAAGTTGATTACTATTAGGAAATTTTTTTCCACCATGCTTACCGAAGCAGTTATTATCGAGTAAAGATAATCCAACCAACGCCGTGTTTTAAACGGACGCACGTCGATGAGCCGCGCGTCTAGTAGTGTGCGTGAGCGTTCCGCCTCGCGCCGGTACATCTGACTTCGCCGCTATCGCGCAATGTTCTCACATGTCATAGCAAAGTTACGAAAATTGACGATCAATGAATTAATATTATGTCGCGACAAAATAATAATTATACAAATTAAAATTATGTCACAATACTAATATAAAATTCAAATTCTTTTATTGTTAATAAATTCATAATAGCGTCAATATGGGGTTTATAATAAAAAGGTCACAACATCTTTATAATAAACAGAACTTTATAATAAAAAACAACATCTTTATAATAAAGAACAACAACAACAACAATTAGTTACAAATTACATTATTTACAAGTTTTATTACAGTAATTGCTCAAAATGAGCCCCACGAGCCTCAATACATGCTTCCGCACGAAGAATTAAATTTTGACGTACGC